ACCATGGCCACACAGCCCGGAAGACCCACACCAGCTACAGAACAAGTAACTATATATCTGGATGTGTTAGCCTGCTGCAGCAAAAACAAGAAAAACTGTGCTTTGTAAAGATTAATTTGTTATATCCCAACCTTCTGTGCATTACATTCACTTTGCTGAAAACAGTTCATGAAAACATCAGTTATATCTGTATTTGTTTTTAAGGTACCACTAAATTCTTTATTGGATTTTCTATCTATTTGTTACCTTGCAGATTAAAAAAAAAAAACATGTAAATATCCCATGGCCAACTGCTGCTTGCCATTTAATGAAGAGAAAGCAAAGATATTCCAGACTATGGAAGCTATTTTTAGATAAATCTATCCAGAACACAGCTTTATTAGTCTTTTTCAACAACAAAACTAATGTCTCACAGGACCTTAAAAATTAACCAATATGATGTTACAAGTTCTGATGGATCACAATCTAACAAAGTGAATATTGTCCCACAAAATATTATTACATAATAATAATATTCAGACGTTTCAAGGTATTATAGGGCACTTTGCTTTTTCTTTAATAAATACATGAATACTTTATTTTCAGGGATCCAAACAGTGTGCCTGTAATTACAGTATTTCCAAAAACAGTCTTAGAGAATAAAATTATTGCTGCTTGCAGCTCAGTGCTTGATTTGAAAGGGTGCCCATCTGTCCAGAAAAAAACAGCCAAATTAAGCTGAGATATTAAGCTGACATCTTTGGGCAAAGAAAACCAACCATACCAGTTTGCCTTGTGGAAAAAGGGGTTTTTAAGACTGGCCATACCCACCAAGGTAGCAATTTTGTGAGAGCATCATGACATGCTCTCAAAATCCTAAATATGTTAACCACTCCAAAAACACTGGGGATCTCTGAATATTTCATAAAATAATAACTCAGTGGAGGAATGGGAAACAGAAAATGTTAAGTCAAAAGAGATTTTAATGAAGCATAGTCTTTAGCACTGATTTCATAATACTGGGAGTCATGTCACAGATAAAAACAATGGTCCTAATATAAGTCAGACAGTGATACAGGTAGTCCTCGCTTAACGACCATTCATTCAGTGACCTTTTGAATTTATGACGGTGCTGAACAAAGGGACTTACAACACGTGCTTGAAGTCACGGCCATTGCAGCACCCCCATGGTCATGTGATTGCAATCTGGGCCCTTGGCAATCCATTTGTACTTATGGGGTGTTTTTCAGCCAGCCCCCAGAGATGAGAGGGAGTCCTTTTGGCAGGCAGCAGCAGCTTGTGACCTTCCCTTGGATTTCAGCATGGAGGGAGTCTTCTTGACTCTTGGGGCTGGCTGAAAACGCCCCATACCAAAATCCTGCTTGGATTTCAGCATGGAGCTCTTTCAGCCAGCCCCCAGAGACAAGATGACTACCTCTCTCTCTGGGGACTGGCTGAAAAAGCTCCGTGCTGAGAGTCTTCTTGACTCTGGAGGCTAGCTGAAAATGCCCCGTGCCAAAATCCAAGCAGGATTTTCAGCCACGAAAGATTTTCAGCTCCAGAGTGGAAAGGTTTAGAAGCCTCTCAGCTCTGGGGCTGAAAATCCAAGCAGTTCTGAGGCCCTTGTGCACCCAACCTACACCACTACACACCCTCCCCAACCCTCTCACACACACCCTCACTCCTTCCCCCACCCAGCAGCACCTGGGGCTTGCAACTTCCTGCCGGCTTCCTCCCGACCTGATTGTGGAAAGCCACCAGGAAGCTGCCTTGCCTATCGACCCATGATTCTTGCTTAATGGCGGCAGATGGGAGTGCCAGGATTGCAGTCGCTAAGGGAAGCAGTCATGTGATGATCCACTTAACGACTGCATTGCTTAGTGACCTAAATTCCGGTCCCAATTGTGGTACTGAAGCGAGAACTACCTGTACAGGTAGTCCTCAACTTAACCATTCATTCAGCAACCATTTGAAGTTATGGCAGCATTAAACGAAGGGATTTATGACTGGTCCCTGAAGCTACATCCCTGTGGTCACGTGATCAAAATTCAGGGGCATGGTAGCCCATCCGCACTTACAACTGCAGGGTGCTTCAACTCCCCCCCACCCGCCTATCTCCCCCCACCTATGCCCTTTTGGCTCCCTGCTGCACTGCACTCCACCGCCCCAGCTAACTTTTGCTGTCTTCTTGCTCCCGCTGCTGGCCAAACATGCCCAGCCTGGCCCTTCACGAGACAGCTGCTGGCCGCATGAGGCTTTCTTCCCCAGGTCACGCATGGCTGTTTCCTCACAAAACCTGGGGAAGATAGCCTTGCATGACCAGCAGCTGCCTTGTGAAGGGCCAGGGTGGGCATGTCTCAACAGGAGCAGGAGCAAAAAGACGGTGAAGGTCAGCTGGGGTGGTAGAGCATAGAACGGCAGGGGCTTTGGAGTACAGGGTGGTGAGGGCGACTGTGGCTGGGACTGGGGTGGCTACAGCTTTGCGCCGCGCTGCTGGGCCGGGCTGGGGTTGGACTTCGCAATGCGCTGTGGCTCAGGGGCTGTTTCTTGCAGCCCTAGAACCACAGGGTGGCAAGAAGCTCCTTTGTGCCATGCTGCTGGGCTGGGCTAAGCCTGGGCTTCATGCTGCATTGCAGCTCAGGGGCTGCTTCTTGTAGCCCCAGAGCTGTAGCATGCCAAGAAGCCCCTTTGCGCCATGCTGCTGGGCCATGCTGGGGCTGGGCTTTGCACTGCAGCACCGCATGCCAAGAAGTCCCCGAGTCACAGCGTAGCATGCAACCTCAGAACTGCACGGTTCTGGGCCTGCTTGCCACCCCATAAGGCAGGGTGCAGGGCGGCCAAAGGGCAGAGATGGGGTGTAGATAGGCAAATGGGGGGAGTTGAGGCAATCCCTTACTTTACTGAGGCTCAAGGCTGGGAGGGACCAAGCCCAGAATGGTTTGGATTGGGGTGGGTCCTCAGCTAACAACTGGTGGAATTTGTTTAACGACATCAACCGGGAGCATCAGGATTGCCATCGTTAAGTGATGCAGTCACATGACATCATGCTTTGCAACCACATCGCTTAACAACAGAAATTCTGGTCCCAATTGTGGTCGTAATTTAAGGACTACCTGTATAAGATGAAAGAGGTCCTAGAAGATATGGGGCTAGTCTTGTATAATACGAGAGACAAGGCAGCTGAAAGAAAACAAAGCTAACTAAACATGAAAAATGTGACCACAGCAAAGGGATGGAGAGAATGTGCCTGAAGAGTTAAACAGCTGAAAAGCTCAATGAACACCAGGCAATGGATGTGAGGAAAGAGCCAAAAGTATATGCAATGCAAAAGAGAGCTTTTTCTGAATTTACGTATTGGAATATTCAATCTCATTCTTATTAAAAATAACCAAGAGAATGTGAAGATTTCTACTACATGAAGACATACTTACCTTGATATTTTGGGCATCAACATTAGCTCCAGCTTCTAATAGAAGACTAATCACTGTGGTATTTCCTGCTAGAACTGCCCAGTGTAGTGCTGTATTCTTATGATATTTGTCTCCCAGATTCACTGAAACATTAAAAGTAAGCAGCAATCGAGTAGGATCCACGCTGGAAAATTAACAAAAACATTATATAAACAAAGACTTACAATTACATTCATTTTAGTCTAGAGAACAAATTCCTTGGAGAAAGAGTATATATTCTTTTGGACTGGATCAGGCTGGGTTCTGTATTATTTCAAGTACAAATGAAATAATGACTCAGTTCAATTTACAGAATATTCTATCAAATAAGGGCACTATGATTTATTTTTAATTCTGTCTTACAGGAGTGCTAAAAAAGAAAGAAAAAGGAAAATATTGTTACTCATTTTAATATAAAACTAAATATTTGTTCTTGTTGCATGAAACATTTTCTTCCTCATCTAGGGGACAATTTCAATATAGAATCCTAAGAATAACTGCATGCTCAGTATCTGGTACATTAATGCAAACAAAACATGCAAAAGAATGCTATTGCAATTGGCTTCTGAAGATGAAAGCTTCCCTAATCTTAACTTCCTCTAAATTACTATGAAAAATATAAATAGTCTAAGTAAAGTTTCTTCCCATTAATGTAAATCTGACTTAAGAACAAAGAAATAAAAAAATAGAGAAATTTGGCTGAATCTAGAGAATCAATTAGCTATCAACTGTTTGATTATGTATGTTTTTATTGGATTCATTTCAACCTTTTCTGCCTACTTTGGAAAATATTCAAACAAAGCTACTCACATTAAAAGCTAAAACAGAATATAAAATATTAAAAACACAAGCAAAAATTAATAAAATAAATAGGTATTAAATCGTAGAACCAACAATCATGTAAGACTAGTAAAAGAGATGCATCTTTAATGATTTTCTAAATGCTGAGAGAGTTAGAGCAAAGTAACATTTCTGAGTAATTATTTATTTTATTACATAAGCTTCTGTACTGTTCAAGGCAGTTTACAAGAAACACAAAACACAATGAAGAATCACGAACATTTATGCCCTTCCAACCTCGATAAAATACACAGCTACAAAACGTAAACATAAAATAATCTAAACAATCTCAACCCAATAAAAAAATAAACCAGAAAATAGCCTACTATCATTATTAGCACCTGAATGCTTCTCAGAAGGTGAATCTCTTAAAGGTCTTCCATAACCCCAGTAAGATGGTCAACCACACCTTGGGGACTAAGTGGTTCCTTAATGGATTACCTATGACCTCTTATATGGTAAGGAACATATGCATTTCATCTCAACAACAGGACAGGCTGATTCTAGTTGGAAGAAATGGTCCTGACGATCACTGAGAACCAAGTCATGTAGAGTTTTAATAGTTAAGCACATGAACTTTGAACTGGACCCAGAATACACTGATTATTTCTTTCAGTGGTTTCATTTACATGTTAAATAGCATGGTGGAGAGAGTCACACTGAAATAACCATAGCAACCCCCCTTCACTTGACTGGAACTGCTCATACATGAAGAAGCAGAACCATCAAAGCAGAACCCAACCCTCACAAGCAGTCCCGAAAGAGACAGGTAGCCCTCGACTAATGAGCACGATTGGGACTGGAACTTCCACTGCTAAGTGATGTGGTCATTAAGTGAATCATGCCCAATTTTACAACCCATTTTGCCACAGTTGCTAAGTGAATCACATGGTCATTAAGCGAATCCAGCTTCCCCCATTGACTTTGCTTGTTGGAAGTCCCTGGGAAGGTTGCATATGGCAATCACGTAACCCTGGGACGCAGCAACTGTTGTAAATACATGCCAGCTGCCAAGTGCCTGAATTTTGATCATGTGACCGCAGGGATGCTGTGATGGTTGTAAGTGCAAGGACCAGTCATAGGTCACTTCTTTCAGCACCATCATAACTTTGAATGGTCATTAAATGAATGGTTTTAAGTTGAGAACTAACTGTATCATGGTTAATGGTATCAAATGCATTCAAGAGGTCTAATGATCCCAACAAATGTCATACACCAGAGCAACCAACATAGTCTCTCAGTCCCAAGTCCAGGTCTGAAACATGAGTGGAAGAGATCCAGATACTCTGTTTTATCTAGCAACCTGTGATGGAAGACATGAGTAGGGAGGATTCCGGAATGGAACTTCAAGGTTGTCGGGCGGGGGAAGAGAGGTTCCAGGGAAAGCACTTCCTCAGCCCCAGCCAGAGTGTGGGAAAGTCAAGAGAAGGAGACTGGCCTCTCCCCAAGGGCATCATGGTTATAGTTGCTGTTTTTGGGGATTAGAATTAGTCTGGCGAGATTCTGTCTATTAGGTGTAAGCTAATAAAGGAGCTGAACTGATTCTGGACTGTCTCGCTGTTGTTCTTGGGCTGAACCTGACAGAACCTTTGTAACTGAAGTCCTACCATCTTGTCTATAATCTTCCCCAAAAAAGGCAGACTAAAAATTGAGTGGAAGTTGTTAAAGAAGACTAGATCAAGAGATGGCCTCTTAAGCAGAGCTACACACTGCTTCCTTGAGGATGACGATGTAGCACCCTTCACCAAAGAGGTATTTATCTCTTCCCAAATCCAACTACACTACACACACCCCATCTAGCTTCTTGAAAGAGGTAAGATGGGCAAGGATCCAACTTAGTGGAAGCTAACCTCATGTTATTGAGAATCTTATCCTCTTTCTCAGATTTCACTAATTCAAAAAAGTCCCAAATTACCTTACAAAATATTGCTCTAGTTATGTCACTAGACTGTCCAAAAGCTGTTGAATCTGGAGCAAATGTCAGGAATTTTATCTGCAAAGAATCTTCCAAATGGGATGCTGGGGCAAGCAGGACAGTTTTCCTAGCTGTTCTGAGAATGCAAATACAGTGAAGTACAATGTTTCATTGGTCTGATCATCACTGTATATTGCCAAATGTAGGCCTGTTCAGTGACATTAATTCTTCACTTTCCTCAGTCCTCCAGTCCATTTTTGTATTTATCAATTGGACTGCCATGTTGCCTAGATTTAATTTCTTTCCTCATTTAGTCATTATTACATTTCAGTGATGTCCAAGCCTATTGAATATTTCCTTGGAATTGGATAAGGAGCAAGAGCTAGGTATCATCAACATAATAATGACAGCCCACTCCATTGCACGGGATGACATTCCACAGCAGTAAAAAATATAAAAAATATAAATATGCATGTTTTAAAAATTATTTGGAAGAAGTGTGTCAGCCCTTGCGTAAATACATTTCTCAGATACTCATTAAAGCAGAATTACTTTTTTCAAGTTTCTATTAAAACTTGAAAAAAAGATGCTGCTGCTCTAAAAATGTGATAGAATGTTGAATAGTCCCAGGGAAAGCAGAAGAGGAAACAAGAATGTTGCAAGAGAGACCCGTCAGCTCATAGAGACTAGGAAGGGTGGGGAGGTGTGAGAAAAAGATTAAGAAAAACTTCACCTTAATTACGCTAGGTATGAGAACTGCTTTGACAGGCTTTTAAGATTTTGTTACATTACCCTACTGGTAATAAAGATCTTTCTGGAAATCTGAGTGATTCTTTTTTCCTGAGTTTGCTAGCTTTGCAGAACTTGACAAAAAGTTGAACTACAGGTAGTCCTTGCTTAAAGACAATAGGAACTGTAGAATTGGCTGTTAAGTGGGGCAGTTGTTAAGTGAGTCACTATGTGACCAGACCTGACTTTATGACCCTTTTATGACAGTCATAAAGTGAATCACTGCGGTCCTTAAGCGAATCACATGGTCGTTAAACGAATCCAGCTTCCTCAATGGACTTTTTTTGCCAGAGTACGACCTGTACTCGCACTTATGACTGTTGCAAACCATCGCACCACCCCCACAGTCACATGAACGCAGGATGCTACAACCGGTCGTAAATGCAAGCTGGTTGCCAAGTGCCCAAATTGCAATCATGTGACTGTGGGGGTGGTGCAACAGTTTGCAATTGTCATAAGTACAAGTACAGGTCATAAAGCTCTTTTCCTGAGGTTGTTGTAACTTTGAACTGCCATTAAATGAACGGTCATTAAGTGAGGATAACTTGTATCTTAATGAACAGTAAAAAGGTGCTGTACTTGTGGGAGGTCACTTCTTTCAAATCATTTTTAAGAGTACAAAGTTCTAATATATTTTATGCTATGTATATTGATTACAGGTAGTCCTCGCTTAATGACCACAATAGAGACCGGAAAATTCATCATTAAGCGGGGTGGTCGTTAAGTGAGGCATCACATGACTGCACTTGATTTTTACATTTTTTTTGCGGTGGTGGTGAAGTGAATCACATGGTTAAGCAAATCACGTGATCATTAGGCAAATCACATGGTACCCCGCTGAGTTTGCTTGCTGGAAGCTGGCTGGGAAGGTCACAAATGGCAATCACATGACCGTGGGACACTGCAACCGTTGTAAGTGCAAGCTGGTTGCCAAGCACCCAGATCATGATCACATGATCGAAGGGGAGCTGCAACAGTCATAAGTGCAAGGACCAGTTATAAGTAACCTTTTTAGTGCCGTTGTAACTTTGAATGGTCGCTAAACAAATGGTTGTTAAGCGAGGACTACCTGTATTAAAAAGAACCACAGATATAAGTTTAAACGAGCAACTTACCTGTGTGTTCTATAAGCTGCCCACATTAAAGGCGTCATTCCATTTTGATCCATCATATCAACATCCTGATGAAAACAGAAATAATCAGATATAAAGAGAGAATAGTGAGGGAAAACTTCTAGTTATCTCCTCTGAAGGAAACTAAGACTAGTGTACTGCTATGGTAAGGCAAAAGCTATTATGAAGTATTTTAGATATTGACTCAGTTCTTACTGAAGAATATATAAAACAATTTTGTCTAAATGTATTTGATCACAGTTTGTAATATATGTTAGAGCACCATCTACTGTTTTACGTCAGTCACCTTTGTAAATGAAATTATTAATTTATAATACTAAATCTTCTAACTAGTATGAGAAACAGAAACTTTGGGGGGACATGAATGTTAGCTAAGATCTGAAGCAACGTTCAGCTAATTCTTCATGTGCAAGAAAGTCCAGACTTTCATTTCTTGAACAAAAGACCCTAGTGGAGATCTTTGTATCATATAGCAAACTGCTTTCAAAATAGAGAAAAGCTTCTAATTCAAAATGGGGTTTTGTTCAAAGTAAGCTAAAAATCCACAACAAACACATAACTCGACTAAATGTCTCTTTGGAACATTCTGCTCCCAGAGGTGCGACTGGCCCCCTCACTCCTGGCCTTCCGAAGGACCTTGAAGATCTGGCTCTGTCACTTGGCCTGGGGTCAGGAGGGAATACCTCAAGCAGGGAGTTGGCTAGCCCCATAGTGGCTGGCTGTCCCCGGCCCGATTTCCCACCTTCTTGGATTTTCCTTTTTTAGTATTGTTCTTAATTCTAGATGTATTATGTATTTTATATATATTTATAGTTTTAATGTTTTTTGTAAGAGTCCCCCACAGTGGGGGAGATGGGCAGGGGAGAAATCCAACAAACAAACAAACAAACAAACAAATAAATATGTTTTTCAATCTTAGTTATTATCTTGAATTCCTCTTGTTTATGTATGAGTTAATTTTATATGGTTAGCTATAGCTTAATCTTCTTAAATTCACAAATATTTGCGCATAAAAACACATTTTTAATTGCTTCAACTACTGAAAAGGAAAAGGGAATGAGTTAGAAATTATGTATCTTTAGTCCCTGCATTTTCTTCCGTAATTTTCTTCTGTAATTTTCACTACTTGTAGTAAAACTACAGTTTTACACTAGTTGACCAGGGTTAAGTTTAAACAGGAATTTCATTTTTTTTCTTGCAGTCCCCTGTATCCAAGAAATTGCTGTTCTGGAGATTTCAAGTAGCCTTGGAGTTGTGAAAGAAACGGTGCCAGACTACCAAATTAAATTAATTTTTTAAAAATCTAGTAATATGCACACTTCAATTACATTGTAAAAGGATTCAAAAGAATAATAAGCATGGATATATTTTAAAATTTAAATATCTAGAGATTTTGACAAAGAAAAGGCATATATCTATCAACATGAGTAGTATGTTGACGACAATTTAGCAAATTTAGCTACATAGTATTATCTCAACTAATAAAATTCCACATTTGCATTTGGTTCTTAAGAATTCCAGGTTATCTATTGTGGTCCAATACACAGCTGCTGTATAGTTTGTAAACCATTAAGAGCTTCCATTTAGATAGTACAACACAATTTACTAGTACTCAACTATTCAGAAGTAAATTCTATTGAATTCAAATAGTTATACCCAGTTATGCACAGTATTGCATATGTTAATCTCAGAAATATAATTATAAAATATACATGTATATATTTTAGCATTAATAATTCAGCAAAATGATATCTGCATATGTAATTATCACTCCTAAAGTTATGAAACAAGAGTACATACCTGTCCCTTGGCTATTAGGTAAGCGACAATAGATGTATGTCCAAACTGGGCTGCTAAATGAATACAACTACATCCTTCTCCATCAATTAATGATGGATCTGCACCATATTTCATAAGCTGTACAACCATTGATAAATGACCCTGTCTAAAACATTAAAAATCAGGATTAAATTTTGTTATGTAGGTTTTACTTTATTTTTAAATTATTGTACAGATGACTAGAGAAGAAATAAAAACCTATTTAAACCTATCTATTCACAAGACCCTTTGTTCTCAAGATCATCCTAGAAAAGAATTTCAAAAACGTTGCTCCCTTCAAATTTCTTGAAAGTGAGATTTTTACCTTTACCTAGCCAGGTGTCCAACTTGACTGAAGAATTTTTATGCTATTCCAAGTCCTTAACATTTTAGATAATGAAAATTCCTTAAGTTCTTCAGCCCTGTCAATCTAAATTTCTCTAGATCTGCAGGAAAGATAGAAAGCCACCTGGTATTTGCTCCTGGTCAAACAAGAGCCACTAAAAATTGCACCTTTACATTTTCATACAGACCATGATAACTTTAAATGATGAGAATTAGAATGTAACACATCTGGGTGGCACAAGTTTTTTGACATAACAATTCAAACATGGAAATACTCCATAAGCACATAGAGCTCTTTTAGTTTTTACATTCCTCAGCCTTGCAGCTTGCTCTTTCACTTTGTAAATATACTAGATGTTTGGCTATGTTTACTTAAAATGATTTTCAGAAATTTAATGAATGTATAGATAAACCCTTTTTTTGGTTAATATCCAGAATCACTAAAGAGTAAATAATGAACTTTTGATTTATTGAGTTGACTGATAACTCTCTGTGGTCTGCTAAGACTTCTGACAGTTATCAAATATACCTAAAACATCCATGGTAAATATAAATAAAATAGCAAATTAATGTCCCAAACTAAAATCAAAACCAAACTCAGCAACAAAAGAAAAGCCCAGATGGCACCTGCTTACTCTTTGGAGCACCTCTTTTCAGCATCTGAAATTAGCACACCAAAGAAGCTGGTCTGATCTCAACTACGAGGCTGTCCAAAGAGGCAGTACTCCCATGGAAAGCAGCAGCTCTGTGTATCACCCCACCCCCACTTTGTGGAAGTGGATTACTATCTATATCTTTTCTGGGACAACTGAGTCAGCCAGGTCAGTTCCAGTTGCAGAATGTGGTTCTAGAGATCGCTCAGTGCCAAGCTATACAGAGTTTCAAACCAACTATAACTTCCAGTTGGTCTTCAAAAGCAGTCCCTGCACTGAACACTGCAGTAGTCCAAGTGGGTGGAGATGAGAGTGAGTTATTGTAGGTATGTCCTTCCGCTCCAGATAGAACCACAAAATTGAGCAAAGGCTGACCTGCCTGTGGCCTATACCTGCCCAGCAAGCAGTAGCTATGAGTCCAAGTTGCAGATCTGCTTCCTCAGTGTCTGATAAAGATGATACAGAGTCCCAATGCACAACCAGCAACTCTGTCTTGCTAGGCTTTAACTTTGCAGTACAGTGTTGCAAAAATGCTTTATAAATATTAAATAATAATAAAATTACGTGAAAGCATCCAATATTTCCCACCTAGTTGCCCAATGTAGTGGTGTGGAGTTCAGGTCACCTCCTAGCTGGTCAACAATAGCACCTTTTGATATGTAGTACCTATAGATATAAAATAAATACAAATCTAATAACGGGAAGACAGAAACTGACAACACTGTCATCAAGAAATGTAGGACACAAAAACAGCTTTTATATGAATATAAAGCAGTATTTTATACTCATTTTATTTTTAGATTATCAGTAAATGATATACTACTTTTAAATAGTTAAAGATTAGGGAAATCAAAGTACATTTAAAGTGAACGCAGATCTCAAAGAACAATGTTTAATCAGTAACTGGTTTTTAGAAGTAAAACTGTTATTTACAAAAGTATATATAGAAATTAACAGGTAAAAATATCTTAAATGCATGTTTGTTCATGCTGTTACCATTAGCTTTTATCAGATTACAAAAAACCTAAGAAGCAACTCTACCACCCAGAGTCCACTGGAGTTGGGTGGCCAATAAATTTAATTAATTAATTAATTTTTTAAAACCCTCTATATTCACTTTGGGGGGGCGATACAGCAATTTGCAGTATCACTGCTCAAGAAGCATTAAAAGTTTCAAGGGTAATGTAAAGACAGCACTCTAGAATCCATGACAATTGACTATCTCCAATGCACTTCTCTGCATGATATCCTACTGTCAAAGGAGATAATGACCAGAGAGAGAAAGTTTCACTTCTGTTAATCCAGCCTAAACTGTCATCTTCAGTGCCAATGACTTTCAAGCACTTTTTAAAATCTGTTTCCCTGCTTTTTAAAAAAGTGCTATTTCAGTTGTTTTATGGTACATTTTTTAATGTTATAAATTACCCAGCAATCTTAGAATGAAAAGCACTATACATATTCATAAAACAAAGTTTCCCCTAAGCACCATACATGGCACTCCTACTTCTTTAGAAACTCTCTGAACATTAAAAAGCTGAAAAATAGTCTTGATCATTTCATTGCTACATAAGGAGTTAACTGCAGGCTTCTCTCCAATCCATTCTGTACCATACAGATGTTCCTCTACTGCATAGTGCAAGTAGGATAGATGTTAATGTCAGCCGACAAGAGAACACCAACCACAGTATTTAAAAGCAGCAAATTCAAGTTTTGTAGTTTTACCAAGTAAATCAGGACTGGAGAGATTTTAAATATATTTAAACATTTTAATGTGGGTACTTTTAAAAGGAACTTTCATGAATGTATGAATTCCAAAATTTTTAGTATTTATTTTACGCATATATTTATATGCAGGTGTATTCATATATAAAATATTATATCTGTATTTTCTGGTTTAAAATATTCATATTTACATTCCACAACAGTGATTCTCAAGGTGACAGTAACAAAATAATTTAAATATATTATAAAAACAATGCAAACCATTAGCGTGACTGAGGCACAATTCTCTACAATGTCTCTAATCAGTTTTGCTTGATTTTTTAATACTAAGCATTTATTTTTTATGAACATAAATTAGCTTCATTCATTCCTTAAATACAGCTTTCCTTACATTTCAAACTGAACAAATTAAGCTATTTCAAGGCACTGCATACTACTGTTTCAGTAATGACTAAAGTGGAAATGGAAATTATAACATTTATTAGTGAGCCAGAAAAAATGAACAGCTGCTCTATTTTTTGAGTTTACTAATCTAAAATGGATAGGAATTTGGCTGCTGGGCCATCCATAGTTTTGACCATTATAGAATAAGTATTTATAAAATGGCTATCAAAAGCTATAGACAACCCTGACTTGATTTTTTTATTAATTGCTATGATTATTATTTGCTGAGGAAGTAGTTCAAATATTGTAACAAAAAGAATAATCACTATTTGAATGAATGAATAAATGAATGAATGAATGATTTATTTTATTACAGCCTTTGGCCAATCAACTAATCATTATTTAAAGTATATGACTGTACACAACTTATTTATGCCTAATCCTACTATGATAAAAATATGAAGAGTTAAAATCCTATATAAGGAAACTAAAAACTGATTGTGACAGAAAAGTAGCACTTACTTCACTAAATCTAATCTGTTGTTGATTGCAGCCCAATGGAGAAGCGTAACATTTTCTTTATCAGGTTGCCGTACATCATAGCCTGCTTCTACCAACTCACAACAACGATCATAAATTCCATACCTTGAAGAAAAATCTCATTAGTTAGTAATTTTGAATTAATAAAACTATTTGAATTTTAAAAACACTGGACAGAATCCCCCCCGCAAAATGGAGACCATCTCTCTTATTTTCTTTTTCCAAATGACTTCCACATTTAAAACACAGTGCCCATCCTTTCCTGTTCTTCCAAGATGAAATCTTATTGTTTCTGCCCTACATAATCAACACTTTCAGTAAAAAACTTTATATACTTTCATTATATAAGCCAAGGTTAGTTATTGCATTTTTGTAACAAGGAAAAAATGTTTATTAGATTAGATTATCAGAGTTATCACAAAAAACCATTTGTATTTTATGAAGCTACCATAAGTATGTTGCCAAATACCCAAACAAATAATTATTACATGCCCATTTTAACATATGTGTTATTACAATAATCATTGGGGACCAAGAAGCAGTAACTGGTTTGCCTAAAATTTGTGTGTGTCTTCTGCAGTGATGCAGCTAGATAGTAAATCATGGAGGTAATAACTATTCATGAGCATTACTTTTCTCTATTCCTTCTCCACCCTTCATCAATGAATTATTTATAAGAGCTTCTACATTTCTAATACATTCAGAATGAAAACGCAAAGAGTTTGGCAATCCTGATTTTAAAAATGTACTCTCAACATGTGCAATTTCATTAACTCAGTTTATACCACATGTGGAAGAACAAATTTGTACAACACAGGGGAAGGAATACCCTGCAGCCCTTCCTTTGTCTGTTCCTTTTAAATGGCCCCTCCTGCCTATGCTGGTAGCATAGGTAAAATAAAAGAAAGGAATTTACAGCTCAAACAGAGAAAAAGCACTTCAAGCTGGCTGAAGAGAATGAAGAAAGCCGAAAGTCTTTCCTTTGAGGAAAAACAGAATTGTGCTACAAGCCAGGAAGCTAAAAACTAGAGGGAAAGCTAAAGCTACAGCTATGAAGAGGCCTAACAGAAGCTAGAGTAGCAAGACCCAGGACAGTCCACCACTAGCATGGCTTGAAGAGGCTTGCTGTCAGATTTGGTAGGGAAGGTTAGAAGAGGCTTAGTGGGGTGGCTGCCAAAAATGCCCTAAGGTATTAAGCAGTGCTGGAATTGAAGCCCACTGAAAACGACCAGCAGCAGACCCATGTGGGATTGTGTGGCCTACTGTAACAGCCCCTGCAGCTGAAACTTCCCATCCCGCTATTCCCTTTCAGAGTAAGCATAATTATTCAAAGCACAAAAAAGGAATCAGAAACAAATAACCAAAAGAAATTCAAAGCATTAGCTAAAAAAGGAAACAGTTAAATCTAGTCTACTCCAATGCCATTCACTATACTTCTCCCTACCTTTTAATCCTAAACAGTCTTTGTTTCTACCTCTTCCATCCACAATTACATAACAATACAAAATTAATACTGTAAATGTTGTTTTCCACATGAAATAAATACCTAGATGCTAATTTTAAAAAAATACACTTACTGTGTGGCTTTGACAATATCCCATGTGCTGTAATCATCAATGTGACTTTTGCGCCCAAGAGATTCATTATATCCGTGGTTATAGTGAGCTTGAGGTTTGATTTCCTGAAAAAAAGCAATTTTATTAAACTATTTGAAATATTAAAATATTAAAATTTCTAGAACAGAAGAGTATAAGTTCCACTAAATCAGACTGCTGATCCATACTCTTTTCCACAATAGCTGATATCCTTAGATCAAATATGGGCAAATTTTGCAATTTAATCTTCCAGACTTCTAGAGGACCACAGAAGGCCTTGGAGATAGCCCCCTTTTTTTTTTAAAGGTTCTCCCTCTTTCTTTTTAAAAAAAGAAAAAAGAAAAACTTTGATAAAAGTGAGAATAAGCAAACTACTCCCACTGCCATCTTTAAAACCTCCCTGTCCATAAAACAGCCTCTAACTGTACAGCATAAATGTGATCATGTCATTGCAGAATTTCAGCGGCATGATTTTGGACAGGTTTGGAGTAATTTAAAAGGTTGAAATGGGAGTCATTTTCTTTCTGAGAGCATCTTGGTCCCATCCTGACTTATATTAAAAAAAAAAAAAA